ACCCTGTCTCAAAAGAGAAAAAAGAAAAAAAAAAAAAAAAAAAGAAAACAAAAAAAAACCAAAAAAATAATTTAAAGCTGTTCAAAAATATTTTTTTTCTTTTTATCCTTTTTTTTTAACCTTTTTTTTTTTTTTTTTTTTTTTTTCTTTTTTCTCTTTTGAGACAGGGTCTCAGTCTGTAACCCAGGCTGGAGTACAGTAGCATGATCAGGGTTCACTGTAGCCTCAACCTCCTGGGCTCAAGTGATCCTTCCACCTCAGCCCCCAACCTTCTACCCAGTGGCTGGGAGTACAGATGAATGCTACCATGCTGGCCTAATTTTTAAAGTTTTCTTTGTAGAAGCAAGGTCTTAGGATGTTGCCTAGGCTAATCTCGAACACCCAGGCTCAAGTGATCCTCTAGCCTCAGAGTCCCAAAATGCTGGGATTACAGGTATGGGCCACCACACCTAGCTAAAAGTTTTTTGTTTTGTTTTGTTTTTCGAGACAGGCTCTCCCTCTGTTGTGCAGGCTGGAATGCAGTGGCTCAATCTTGGCTCACCGCAACCTTGACCTCCTGGGCTCAAACGATCCTCTCACTTTAGTCACCCAAGTAGTTTGGGACTAAGGCACACACCACTACACCTTGCTAAACTTGTTTATTTTTCTGTAGAGATGAAGTCTCACTATGTTGCCCAGGCTAGTCTCAAACTCCTGGGCTCAAGTGTAATCCCAAAATGTTGGGATTACAGGCTCACACCACTGTGCCTGGCCCAAAAGTTTTTAAAAACAAAAATTTTAAAAATAGAAAAAAGTGGGCTGGGCATGGTGGTTTACACCTGTAATCTCAGCAGTTTGGGAGGCTGAGGCGGGCGGATCACCTGAGGTCAGGAGTTCAAGACCAGCCTGACCAACATGGAGAAACCCCGTCTCTACTAAAAATACAAAATTAGCTGGGCATGGTGGTGCATGCCTGAAATCCCAGCTACTTGGGAGGCTAAGGCAGGAGAATTGCTTGAACCTGGGAGGTAGAGGTTGCGGTGAGCTGAGATAGTGCCATTGCACTCCAGCCTGGGCAATAAGAGCAAACCTCCGTCTCAAAAAAAAAAAAAAAAAATAAAAAAAAAAAAATCTGAAAAAAAAAAAAAAAAAAAGAAAAAAGAAAAAAGTAGCCAGGCATGGTGGCTCACACCTATATTCTCAGCATTTTGGGAAGCTGAGGTGGGAGCGTTGCTTTAGCCCAGAAATTTGAGGTTGCAGTAGGCATTCTAGCCTGAGTGGAGACCTTGTGTCAAAAACCAAATAAACAAAAACAACTAAGACACAAATACATTAGCCTAGGCTTACACAGGGTCACGATCATTGATATCCCCGTCTCCCACCTCCACATCTTGTCCCAGGCAATAGGAATTTTTCAGGTCCATTATAATCTTATGGGATCATCATCATACATGTAGTCCATTGTTGATCAAAACATTGTTATGCAGAACATGATTGTATGTATTAGACTGTTCTCACGTTGCTGAAAAGAAATACCTGAGACCAGGTAATTTATAAAGAAAAGAGGTTTAACTGGCTCATGGTTCGCAGGCTATACAAGAAACATGCAGCTTCTTCTTGCCTTCTGGGGAGGCCTCAGGGAGCTTTCAGTTATGGTGGAAGGCAAAGGGGAAGCAGGCATTTTACATTTTACATGGTGGGAGCAAGAGGAGAAGAGAGAAGGGGAAAGGAGCTACAAACTTTTAAACAACCACATCTCATAACTCGCTCACTCACTGAGGAAGAGCACTGAGGGGATGGTTCCAAACCATTCACGAGAGAGAATTTTGCTCCCATGATCCACTCACCTCCACCAGGCCCTACCTCCAACACTGGGAATTACAATTTGACATGAGATTTGATGGAGACACAGATCCAAACTATATCACTGTATTTCTATCATTTTCATCAATCATCATCTATACATTTTTTGAAATCATAAAGTATTTACTGGACTCTGTTTTCCACAAAATAATATTCTGATATATGTTTTTAATTTGCTTTTTGCTTAAGACAAAATGTCTTATCCATTTTGTGCTGCTATCACAGAATACCTATGACCAGGTAATTTGTAAAGAGCAGGAAGTTACTGGCTCATGGTTCTAGGGACTGAGAAGTCCAAGAACGTGGTGCTGGCATCTGCTCAGAATTTGATAAGGCCCTTCTTATGGCATCATCCCACGGCAGAAGGTGGAAGGGCAAGAGAGAGTGGTTGGGGAAGGGAGCCTAACTCATCCTTTTATAATTAGCATATTCTTGAAATGATAGCATTATTCTATTCATGAGGACAGAGCCCTCATGACCTACTCATGTCTTAAAAGTTTCACCTCTCTGGGGAAAAAAAGAGTCTCACCTCTCAACACTGTTGCATTGGGAATCAAGATCTCAATACATGAACTTTGGGGGACACATTCAAGCTGTAGCAGGTAGGGACCACTTGTGATCTAGGAGCAAAATGAAGGAAGGGGGTTGGAAGTTTCACCATTCAGGGGACAAATTTACTTTTTCCCCTGCCATGGTTAACATTTGGTGTTTAGCCTTCTAGACAGATATATACATAAATTTTCCTCACAAAATGAGATTATCATATACATGCTATTTTTTGTTTGTTTGTATGTTTGTGTGTTTGTTTGTTTGCTTGTTTTTTGAGGCATAGTCTTACTCTCTCACCCAGGCTGGAGTGTAGTGGTGTGATCTCCGCTCACTGCAACCTCCGCCTCCTGGGCTCAAGCCATTGTCCTGCCTCAGCCTCCCAGGTAGCTGGGACCACAGGCATGTAGCACCATGCCCGGCTAATTTTTGTGTTTTAGTAGAGACAGGGTTGCACCATGCTGGTCAGGCTGGTCTCAAACTCCTGACCTCAAGTGATCCGCCCACCTCAGCCTCCCAAAGTGCTGGAATTACAGGCTTGAGCCACCGTGCCCGGCCAGACCTCTCCTTAATCCCTGTGTTTCTAATTCCACATAACTTTACTGGCCCCCTTAAGGTCTGTGTCCCTAATTCAAGAGGCTTTCAGATTTAGCTTCTTCAAGGCCACAGTCCCCAGTTTCCTGCTTGGGCTGGTGGTCACCCTGGCTTTAAGGGGTGCAGGAAGGTGCCTACGATCTGGCAATTGAATATTCAACTGTTTTCATCCCCACCTTACACACAGTGTCTGGTGCCTTCATGGAGTCTACAGATGTGTCACACTTTATCTTCCTGCACTTTACCACCTTATAGTTGCTTCTCTCAGCTACCGATTTCTCCTGACTCATGTGGGTGCCAGTGAAGATAGGCCCTATTCTATTCCTTCACCGTCATTTCAGTAGGGTTTTGGGTGGGGGAGGATATAAATATCAGCTTGTTTAACTGGAAGCTGCATTAATTATGCAGAAGTCTTTCTGATCATTGCTCATCTTTAAAAGAGACCAGCTATTGGTTAAAAATTAATCTAGAGAGGCCCAGTGTGGTAGCTCATGCCTGTAGTCCCAGCATTTTGGGAGGCCAAGGTGGGCGGATCACAAGGTCAAGACCAGCCTGGCCAACATAGTGAAACCCCACCTCAAAAAACAAAACAAAACCAACAACTTAATCTAGAGAAAGATGAGACAAGTGAACTGGAAAAGACTACAGTTTTCAGTTGCCTTTTTTTCTTCAAACAACCTATCACCAAATGTGTTTTCTCCTCCACCTGGGACCATATCCCCGGTTTTCAGGATGTGAGAGGTCAGTATGGCTACAGACCCTAAGATAGACTTTCTAATGATTACCGTGCCCTTAGTCCCTCTCCTCTGGCTCCCTCTCCAGCAGCAGTTTTCTCGCTGGGAGGCTGGGACATAGATGGTTAACATGGATCTACATATCACTTCTTTCTCAGTTCCACCTCTCCCACTCCCGGCATCCTTCAGGGTGGAGCTGACGTCTCTGGAGTCATTCCAGCTGCTCGCCTTGTGGTCCTAAACAATGGACCATTAAATTGGGCCTTCCAGAACAGTGCCTTTATCTTTGCTTGGCAGTTTGGGATTGTGCCGCCGCCTTGCCATGGAAGCTGAAGACAGGTACCAGAATGTTCAGCACTGTCCGTAATAGCAAAAAGCTGAAAACATACAAATGACTGTCACCAGGAAGATGGGTAAATACAATGTCACATACTCATATCATTGAACACAATGCTTCCATGAAAATGAGTTAAATTATCACTGTACATGGTAGCAGTTGTGTGTGTGCATGTGAGTGTGTGTGTGTCAGGGTGTCACTCTGTCACCCAGGCTGGAGTGCAGTGGCACAATCTTGGCTCACTGCAACTTCCACCACTTCCGAGGTTCAGTTGATTCTCCTGCCTCAGCCTCCCGAGTAGCTGAGAAAACAGGTACATGCCACCATGCCTGGCTAATTTTTGTATTTTTGGTAGAGATAGGATTTCACCATGTTGGCCAGGCTGGTCTTGAACTCCTGATCTCAAGTGATCCACCTGCCTTGGCCTCTCCAAGTGCTGGGATTACAGACGTAAGCCACTATGTGTGATCAAAGTTGAATCTTAAAAGCACACAGTTAAGTGAAAAAAGTTAATCACAGAAGAATATATACTTGACTCAGTGATTTCATTTATATAAAATGCAAAAGTTCCCCAGAACTGAAACATGTTGTTTGGGAAAATATACACCAAGAATTAACACTCATAAAAAGAAGGGAATTATTAAGTCAAATTCAGGATGGTGGATATCACAGGAGGGAGAAGAAGAGGTTGTGACTGAGGAGGGGCACACAGGAGCCTTCAAAGGCACCAATTAAATTCCATTTTCTTTTTGTTTTGAGATGGGGTGTTGCTATGTTGCTCAGGCTGGCCTTGAACTCCTGGACTCAAGGGATCCTCCTGCCTCAGCCTCCCAAGTAGCTGGGACTACAGAAGCACACCACCAGGCCCGGCTTCCATTTTCTTAAAGCTGGTTTATAGGTACATGTTTTCATTTTTTTTTTTCTTTTTTAAGACGGGGTTTGGCCATGTTGGCCAGGGTGGTCTCAAACTCCTGACCTCAGGTGATCTGCCTACCTCCGCCTCCCAAAGTGCTAGGATTACAGACGTGAGCCACCATGCCCAGCTCATTTTTGTTATTAGTTAAACTGTACATACATGTTAAGTACATTCTTTTGTTGGAACAATATATCAAATTAATAAATGGAGTGATTACTCTCTTTTATTCTTCATGTTTTAAAAGATGGAGTTGTTTCTCTTTTTCAGTTTTGGAAGGTTTTAAGGTGGGGAGAGGAGTGAAAAATAAAATCCTTTTTTTTTTTTGAGACAGTATTTCATTCTGTTGCCCAAGCTGGAGTACCGTGGCACCATCTCAGCTTATTGCAACCTCTGCCTCTCGGGTTCAAGGGATTCTCATGCCTCAGCCTCCCGAGTAGCTGGGATTATATGCTCTTGCCACCATAGCCTGCTAAATTTTGTATTTTTAGTAAAGATGGGGTTTCACCATGTTGACCAGGCTGGTCTTGAACTCCCGACCTCAAGTGATCTGCCCACGTTGGCCTCCCAAAATGCTGAGGTTACAGGTATGAGCCACCACACCTGGCCTGAAAAATACTTTTAACATGCCCCGGATCCAGCTTTCTCTATCTCCAGGGGTTAAATAATTCACATACATAGCCTGTGAAGGCACTGGTATTATGGACCTTGGGTTTCCAAATAACAGTGAAGAAAGCGAGTCCACAGAAAACTGATAATCAAGAAGCTTTGTGATTTCCAGGATTGCTTATTTTTTAAACCCCTGAAATGAAAATGGCTTTAATTTAGAAACTGGCTTGTGGAGTGTTGGGTGGGGCAATGGTGAGGCAGGGTTGATGCAATGGTGACTGGCGGAAGAAGCTACTCTGAGGAGGGAGGCCCACCGGCATCCAGTGCCCTCAGCTGGCATGACACCTGCTGGAGCTGTGGGGATTTCTCCCACTCAGGAGCTCTGGATCTGTTGATGCCCGAATATGTGAATTGGACCCCAGGGCTCTATGCCATGGCCTAGAAGAAAGTTCGTGTCAGAGTTTGGTGGATGGAGTAGGGGGCAGGGCAGGCACCATGCCAAGAAAGATTAACAGCCTTGTGCCTAGGAGGGAATTTGGACTTTATCCTGAGAGAAATGAGGAACTGTTAAATGGTTACACCCAGGAAAGGACAGGATAGAAAAAAAATTTTTTTATAGGGTCTTGCTCTGTCACCCAGCCTGAAGTGCAGTGGTGCGGTCGTAGCTCCCCGCAGCCTCCACCTCCTGGGCTCAAGTGATCCTCCTGCTTCAGCTTCCTGAATAGCTAGGACCACAGGCGCATGCCCCACGTCTGATTTATTTTTCATTATTTATTTTTTTTGTAAAGATGGGGTCTCAGTATGTGCCCAGGCTAGTCTTGAACTCCTGGTCTCAAGCAATCCTCCTGCCTCAACCTCCCACAGTGCTGGGATTGCAGCTGTGAGCCACTGCACCCGGCCCAGGGTAAGATTTGATTAAGAAATACAGAATAAAAAAATGCTAGGCACAGCAAAACTTCAGTGACTCATTTAAAGGAAGCTATACTGTATTTATCACATTAGCAGCTACATAGATTATAACAATGTCCATATGTAGGCAAAACATATTTTCATTTTACAGACAATACTTAGGGCATGTAAGGATTGACAGACATTTGGCAAAGACTCTGTGCCCTAATCCCCCACTCCTCTCGGGCTCAAGACTCACAGTTAGGCTTTGCTGATCCAGTTAATGCAATGCTGAACAGTTCTTTTTCTTTTTCTTTTTTAAGACAAAGTTTTGCTCTTGTCACCCAGGCTGGAGTGCCGTGGTGCAATCTCAGCTCACTGCAACCTCTGCCGGGTTCAAGCAATTCTCCTGCCTCAGCCTCCCCAGTAGCTGGGATTACAGGTACCCCCCACCATGCCGGGCTAATTTTGTGTATTTTCTTTTTTCTTTTTTATTTTGAGATGGAGTCTTGCTCTATCGCCTAGCGTGGAGTGCAATGGCGTGATCTTGGTTCACTGCAACTTCCGCCTCCCGGGTTCAAGCAATTCTCCTGCCTCGCCTCCCAAATAACTGGGATTACAGGTGTGCACCACCAAGGCCGGCTAATTTTTGTATTTTTAGTAGAGATGGGGTTTCACCATGTTGGT